ACAATGCATTTCATAAGAAATATAAATTAGTTTTGATCAATTATGGGCTCTTTTTTTATACCATCAACCACATATAAAAAAATTTTGAGTGTTGATACTGCAGTAGGCTTCTCTCTTAGCCATATGATAGCTTTGTGAATAACAGCTGTTCCAGCTCACTAAATGTAATTGCTATGTGATTCATAATTCCTTAGAGGGTTTTGAAAAGTTTAACACAATAGATACAGTCAAAAAGATGTATTCATATCAATATATGTTAGTACATGTTTGCATTCATAATAGCTTGCATTTTGTAATACAGAATTTAACTGCTAGATGGCAATATAATGTAAACATGGAATTCAATATTGAACACACAGTTACTGGCATCTTAGAAGTCCCTTAATTGTAGTTGGTTATGTTGACAAAAATGGAGCAAATCACTGCAGATGTTGAATCCAGCTGTATGATGTATTTTACACAAATGTCTTCATGTGAAACCATACCAGGTATAGCTCTTGCAAATATCGAGTTCCTAGGATCACAATCTTCATTTCTAATTCTGTGCCATTATTGTAAGGTATCAAAAAGGAGCTAGAAGTTTTCTGAGAAGGTAATTTATAGTGGCTAGGCCACAATTGATTTGTCTGCCAAGATGTACCATCACATTATGCACATGTGGGCAATAATAGAAATCCCTATGTAGTAATGTAATATATACATGATTTTTCTGCAGTGAATGTGTGTTGGGATATATCTTTTATATCTTCAACAAAAATTTATTGCGTACTTTTTTTTTTTTTTTTGTGTGGTGTGTGTGTGTGTGTATGTGGTGTAAGTATCCTTGATATGACACAGTAGTGGCCTATGTCATACAGAAAGATATATGTACTTCATTTATGAACAAGATGAGCTCTGTCATATTTTTGAACACGCTTTTCATGCACAAGTTGACATACTCTGGCTCAAGATGCACCTGTTACAGCTGCAACATATGTTTTGCTTGGAATGTTGTCCACAGCATACAACATATTCTCTTCCGTTATGTGAGTTCTAATTGATCATGGGTGCCTAGTATCTTAAACTGCTATCAGACCTTCTATCTATGCATCAAAAGAAACATTTCCAGGAATCTTTATTTTCAGACTGGCTGTTGACTTAGCACGAAGATATACATAAGACAAAGCTATAGATAAGTGCTTTCCCTGGCCTTGTAGAATGTTCTGCATGTGTACTAACAGTATATCATAGAATGGAACTGTTTCAGCTAGAAAACCCATGATCAGAATAGTGCTAGGAGAAATGCATTTCTTGGAAAAATTTCATAGAATGTTGTGCATCGATATATGTGATAGCCCCTTTACATCCTAAGTGTGAAGGATCGTTGTTCATACAGGTTCTGATGTAAATGTGCTAACATTTAATGCTGGAGTAAATGTCTGGTTGAGTATCTTTACCTGTACATTCTTACAGTGGTTTGTTCATTAGCATCACCTAACTCGTATATGAAGTTCATGTTCACCAACTCAAGAGTTCAACATGCATTCAAAACTATGCTTGTTCCCCATACGATGCTACACATTTAAATGAGGAAGTTCCAGGTGCCAGCATGAAGCACTGGTGTAGAGCATCACCTATCCATTTTTGGGCCTCTTCTTGGTCCCATTTTTGGTCCATTTTATTTCTATGTCAATATCTTTCATATCAAAGTTCTCTACTTTCCCTTAGAATTTGTCCAACACACTGTAGGATAAGAATATACTAAGAAATAGATCGTATGTCTGATATTTATCACTTGAATACTGGATATCATTATTGATAATGGTTATGTGTTGTAACTTATCTCACTTGTCTGACAGTAACATCAGAACAAGCCCAAAAAATTCATCGAGGCAAGGAGTGCAAGAATGCACGTGTTGTTGGCAAGAGTCTTGAACACCATACAGGAGACAGTACAACTTCACTCAGTTTCGCTCGCAATTTTGATGGAGAGCATCCTGGGAGAATGGGTCTGAGGGTCTCCCACCCCTCTTTCTCTACCACCACCTCTCAAGAGGACTTGCGGCTCGCTGCATATTTAGAGTGCACCCATGTCGCATGGCCACTATACGTTTACAAGCATCCATGCCTTTGCTGGGATTCAAACCCAGGCCCTTCAGTACATCTTTTAATGATGCAGATATATTTTCATCATTCTTTTGATTATTCAGATTATGAAACTTTATCATTTTCCCTAAAAATTCTTCATTTAGGATTTTTCTTATCCCAAAATTAAAGGAAAGAGAGTGAAATTTTTTATAATATTAGTGAATTATACAATAGGCATTGCTTAGCGTGATCACATTTGTATTCAGCTATTTGGTAACATTAAATGATGAGAAAAAAATCCTTCAAAACAGGGATGGCACGACGGGCTTATTTACAAGTTCATGCGGCTTGGTTTTTCGGTGCAACTCATTAAATTTCTTAACTTGTACTTGACAGGTAGATCCTTTCGAGTGCCAGTTAGCCATGAATACTCAACCCCCTCCCCAATCTATGCTGGGGTCCCTCAAAGGAGTTTAATTTCAACTCAAATGTTCAACATATATGTAAATGATATTCATAAGTCACCTAATGTCAATCTAGCCTTATATGCAGATGACACAGCCATCATGACTCAACATTACAACATCTCCATGGTAATTTCTGCACTGAAGAATTATCTTTCAAGCCTAGAGCTCTGGCTCAGACTGTGGAAGATCAAAATTAATGTCGCAAAATGTGCCGCCACTTTATTTATCCTAGGAACAACCCCCAATTTACCTACCTTGCAATTCTTCGGAGAACCAGTTTCCCTGGGTTCCTGCTTATAAGCATCTAGGAGTCACATTTGATTCAAAATTAGTTTGCCAACTACACATTCGAAAAACTGTTTCCAATACGAAGGTTGTCAAAACCCAATTACTGCCATTTTTCACTAGAAAAAGCCACCTGTCCATGAAAAACAAGATCTTGCTCTATAAATCAATGATAAGGCCAACACTGACTTATAGCTAGTCCCGTATGGGGCACAGTAGCAAATACTAACAGGAAACATATCCAAACTTTCCAAAATATTATGCTATGGCAAATTTACAAAGCTCCTTGGTTTGTTATGAACGAGGATATTCATAACGCAGCAAAAATTCTCCCTTTCAATCGCTTTATACAGCGACTTTCAGTTAACATTTTTAAAAAGATTCCTTTGATCGGAAACCCCGTACTCCACACTCTGCCTATCTATCATCCGGGAATTGCGCCATCACATAAAAGACCCAGAGCTACTCTGGAAAGTGCATATAATGCATAACCATTTCCCAAGAGGCGTTGTTATGGAGACGATGTGCCTCAAAGTTATCACTCTACTCATTCACACCTCCCTCCACCCATCGCCTGAGCGAATTTGCTGTTCTTTCAGCTCTCTCTGTCCCGTTAAACGGGCAATTTTACTTCTTTCAACCACTAAGCAGTTGTTAACTAATATTAAGCACTTTTGTTCTCTCCTTAAAAGGATTCTCGTGCGCTGATACTTTAATTAAATTTAATCTCTTTTTAAGAGAATTTTATGCTTTTTTTTTGTCATAACACTTAAAGCTATTATTTTATTTATTTTATTCTAAAGTTTCTCCTCAGAGGCAGTTCTGGCCATATTTCTTTAAATCTAACTCACCTAACGAGTTCCTTTTTTCCCTTCTCCCAGACCCGAAGCACCTGCAATGTGAAAGCTGTTTCGCGAGTGTTTCAGCTCTCGTGTTGTTAACACCAAAAGACCATTCATCAAGGAAATTTTCGAAGCTTTTCAAAATTAATGATGTAGCCCCTTCAAAATTGATTCTGGCACTTTTTCGATCTCAAAATTTACTAAATTAAGTAAAAGTCCTTCAGTGTTTTTATCCTTTTTCACTGTGGAAGGCAGTTTACCATTTGTTATTTTTTAACATATAGACACCAAATCTTTACCTCTTTGCGGAACCCTCTTTTTGATGACAATACTAATCTTTGATGATGATAAAGGCTCCAAGCCTAAGTACCTCGTAAATGAACCCTTCCTTGGTCCTTGCAATTGCTCTAAAACAGCGATTGAATTCAACTAATTTATTATAGATACAACAAGAATCACATAAATAAGTAAGTAAGTTTGTTGTTTCACTTCTGAATAAGTACTTTCATGTAATTTTAATTAGGAAAATGCAAAAATCTGTATATGTACGTCTTTAACACAATAGTTCTTTCATGAACGATTCACGACTGTTCATTTATGAACTGACATTTCTGGAAATACCCCTAATCTTAAAATCCAGAGGGCATCCCTCATCCACTGGAAGAGAACATGAAAATTTAAAATTAGGCAAAAAAGCAACCTTAGTTTGGTGTAGATATTTTCAGAGGATTTTTTAAGCAGGGGTAAAAATTCTGCAGATTTTTTTGGGGAGGGTAGGGGAGGCTCCTGAAGAAAAGGGACCTTTGGTTGATCATCCTCAAAACTGATAGAATTATACAAAATCTAAGACAAACTAAGACTGCTTTTTTGCCTAGTTTGAAATAGTTCACTAAAATTGAAAAAGAGCTGTTTGTTGACAAAATCCCTTACTTGGCGACATTTTTGTAACACTTAACAATTTTTATAATTTATTTTGACCACATTTGGCAATTTAACTTTGGTAAAAAATTTTTTCAATAATACTTTGATGGTATTAACTGAATTGTTGATCATAATAAGCAATGTATTTGCCATGTTTTTGTGTAGAAATAAGCGAGACTTTGGCAATTTTATAACAATATCCGAATGATAATATTAACCGCAATCGCATCAATTAGCATCTGCTGTACGTAACGTTTACTTATCAGCTATACAATTAAAGCCAGCAGTAAAAACAGTGCATAAAGAAGGAATTGTAATTAATGATATTAAGAAATGCTATCCTTTAAAAAATTGTAATTATATTTTTAAAAGTATTTATTTTTTGTACTTGTGTGTTAAATGAATATTATTGTTTTAGCTGGAAGAGCCAGTTAAAGAAGCTAAGCAAAAGAAGAGAGTCACTATTAAAAAAGGTCCAAGAATGAGCAAACAAAGGCATACAGAATTTTAATTTATATTAATGTGTTTCTGTTATTACCTCTCATTAAAGTAAAGCCAATGTAAATAATAAATATTAAAGCTTCAGTTTTAAGAGAATTTTCATATTGTCACAACGATAATTTTTCAGTTTTAAGCTTTCAAAACTCTCAATAATATATATATATATATTGAGAGTATATATATATATATATATATATTTTAAGTCTGTCACTTACTTGATTGAGCTTATTAAAAAACAGTATTGATTTTATAGACACTAAGATCAGAAAGGTATTTTACTGGAAGCAAACTATCAGTTTCTAAGACATAAATACTATTTAGAAAGAATATACATCTCAAAGCTTATTATTAAAATAGTCACAGATTATATACACTGTGACTATGGAAATCCTTACCCAGCTTTTATTGTCACAGTCATTGGCTGTAAACATATACTTCCAATAATAAAAATGTTTCAAATGGCACAAATATGCATGTTTTGTGGGTTTTTTAATTTAAAGAAAATAAATTTTGTAAAAAATCATGAAATTTACTTATTAAATGTGCTCACCTGTCTCTATACATAAGCAATTCATGCTTGTTATAAAACTAAAACATGAAATGTGTGACTCTCATACAACAAAAATTAACTGAGATATTTGATATTAAAGTTGAAGCTCATATTTAAGGGCCATGCACAAATGGAAGAGAGAAGTGCTTGTATTTGTACATAACTAAAAATAAAATTATCAATTTAGAAAAAGGTTTCTGATGTAAAAGATTTAATGATGAGCATTTCTATGCAAATTATATGAAAGGATTTTTTTTTTCTTTTTTTCAAAATGGAGATCTCATTCACTTTTTTTCAAAATGGAATCTTGTGAAATTTGAAGTCCAGAAAACATACGGGCTTCAGTGCTGACATGTAGCTAACTCATGCTATTATTCGCATTGATTAAAATTGAAAAAAGAATTAAAAATGGTTTGTAAGATTAAAAATATTTTCTGAATGTTTTGTATGATTACTAGATAATGGCTCTAAAGTAATCAAACTACAGAATATTAACAACTTTGAATTCTTTCAACTTAATAAATATAAGAAAATAATAAATTCAAGACGGTAGTAAATCACAAAAAAATATCATTGAATGTCATTTATGGGGGCAAAAAAATCGGCCTCAAATTATTTATTAACTGACCTCTGCACTGCATATTAAAAATATCAAAAAATTGCAAATTTTGAATTTAAGTATTTTTAAGTAAGTCAATTTTTGTAGTATGAGAGTCAACTTTTTTTATTATCATTTTTAATAACAAGTAGAAAGTTTTCCTAAATATAAATATAGGAACCAAAGGAATGTATGAACAGTTAAATTTTATAGTTTTTATAAAATTGATTAAATTACAAATGTTCAAACTTGAATGTTTGCAGAATTTAAAATATTTCTGTAATATGAAGTATATGTCTACAATCAGCAGTTGCAAAAGTAAAGACCAGGTTGATGTCACTTTTGTGGATGCAATGAATATTATGATTGTGATAGATATATGCTTTAAATTTATAAATGACTGTGAATTTGCTTAGGGTTAAATTGCTTTCATTAGTAAAGTGCTAACCTACCAGGAATTCAGTACTCAAAGCTCCAAAACGTTATCAGTTTGGTCTTGGTCTGAAGTTGGCTGCATAGTTTCCTCTTAAGTGTTGATGTAAATAGAATTTTCTCTCAAAAGTCCTTGATAAAGCCACCCGCTCTTCCACTATTCCTTTATTACTAAATAGAAATCATTAAAATTGGACAGAATTATTAGGGTGTCCTTGATTATTAAGCAGTTTGCTTTAAATTATTATCCTATATATTCACAATTATAAAATATAAATAAAGTGGATATATTTATCTTTAACCGTGTGCTTCACAAATATGCACTGGGGAGAAAAAGAAACAACTATAAAAAACACACGTAACTTGAATGATTTTGTAGCTAAGAACATGTAACTTGTGCAAAATATTAATTTTGTCATGCCTGACATACCTACAAAAATGAAGAGTTGTTTGTTTTTGCAAAACATAAATTAAGAGACACAGGAAGTATGATTAAAAGTGGAATAAGGAAAACTTGGTGCTGTAGCTCTTTAGAAGTACATAGATAAAATTCATAAAGTGTGTGGCCCCATGATCAAACTGTAAGCTTTATAGCAGCAATTTTGCATGCTGTGTATTATATTGTCCAGGAGCTATAGTGGTAATAAATTATATCCATGATGATTACTGAGTAACACCGTGAGAATGATAAATGGGGGCTGCAATGATGCAAGTCAGCATTTTCTAGTGGATTCCACTATGTTTTATCAAATTTAAATACACAGAATATGTGGGCCACTGCTACTGTCCACAGTCTGCTAAATTCTTTTGCCTTTAAGATAGATAATCAGCCACTAGTATAGTGTGATGAAGATTTAGGAGGATATTATTACTGCATTCCTAAAGAACTTAATGCAAGAATCAAGGACTGCATTTCTATATAGTTTCAGCTTTCATAGTTATGCTGGTAAAAATATATAGGTCAAAATGGTGCCTGCCAAAACTATAATTTCACCATCTTTGTATTGATGCCTTTCATTGACATTTTTAAGCTTATTGCATATTTTTTGCTTCCTCCTTATTGTAACAAGTCTGGAATCACTCTCCAAACAAAAACGGTACTCATCAGTAAAGAGAACTAATCCCTGTTCCTGGTATTCCAATCACAATGCTCTCTGCACCACAACAGCCAGGTGCATTTCAGTCTCGAATTAATGGGACATAAATCGTGAGTTTCCTTGCATTCAACCCTTTTTTATGGTCCTGCAGCTGCAATGAACTCCCTTGCAACCTGGGCTGCCATATCTCTCTTTCAGAAATTATTGCCAAATAACAGTCCTAAACGGACAGTCTATTGTTCCATGACCTGTTTGTCTGCATACATCAACAGTGTCTTAGACTGTTTCCGATTCTTCATATAGTGATTTTGGTTACTCTACCTGTATTAGAATTTGTCCTGCATCCATTCTCCCAAGCGCATGCCATTTCTCACAAATCGTCAGATGCTTATGCTTTCTCAACAACATGGTACTCCTTCCACATGCAAAATTTTGTCTAATTTCTCATACAGTCATAGAAATTAGAATTTGAAATTTGCTTATGCACCGAAAGAATAAGCATAAAAATTTGTATAATTTTGTGTTGCAAGTGTGAATTCTATTGGATTGCGTGATAACATTGACCTAGAGCTACCAACCAACCACTTTTCACTGGACTCTACTTAATTAACATAAAGCACCTTTTTATAGTTGTTCATTTAATTTGTCCTGCCAGTGCACATGAAACTGACACTCTTAAGATTTATTATAATCATTTACAGCACACATTAAGCATACTAACTATTCAGATGATGATAATGATCTTGTTACAGTACTCAAAGTATGACAAAAAAAAATGTGTAATCTAGAGTAGTAATGAAATTGTTAAAATCAAATTTTGGATGGTTTATTTAATTATGACATAGCACTTAAGGACTATCTGCCTAAAGGAAGCTATTCATTCATAGAAGACTTTCTGAGGGAAACTGGCTCGTATATATGAAAATGCCCATACATCTAGCCCTTTTGTGGGATTCAGACTGAACTATCAATGTTTAACAACTTTACTGTTTGGCCGCTGGTGTGCCAAACTTTTGGATAATACTTGCTAATCTGAGTACAATCCAAATAGTTTTTCTTTTTTTATCATTTAAATCTTAGAAATTTAATATCAATTTACAAAATAAGTTTTAGCAGAAAGTTCCTTTAAAATTTAATATTTCAGAAAATCTAAATAATAATGATAAAAAATAAAATTACTTTTTTATGCTGAAATGTACAAATTAATAGTAGTAATTATTTACATAATAATGCTAATACAAAAAATATTATTTGATATTAAGTATATAATTGTATATTTCTTACAAATTATTTGCAATTATCTTTCCAAAAATAATTACAGAGGTAAGTTGCAATGAATTTACCATTTAATTAATTCTCAGCAATCACCCCACCCGCAAAAAAAAAAAATAATAATAATAATAATAATATGGTATATCGGGGTTTTTCTGTGTATACAAACTTCTGGAGAGGTAGCTAGTTCAAACACAAATCAAAATCATATAGCTATGGAAGATCGGAAACACCATAGTGTGTAAAAAACCCAAGAAATTAAAAAGAAATGTGTAAATGAATAAAATGCTGTTTTTGAATAACAGGTACATTTGCAAAAAATGCATAAAAAGTTATTCGAAGTTACACTGCAAGCTATAACATTGGTTAATGGAATCACAAACATTCTAGAACATCCCAGGAATATCTCAAAATGGCCCCAGCAGCTAGGGAAATACCCACAGCACTGCCCATGAGGTGCCCTATATTAGAGCCTCTAGATGAGCCTAGAAAAATTGATCTATGTCCAGTGATTATGCAAGTCAATGAATGGAACAACCAGATGTAATCCATTGTTGTCCGTGTTGAAACAACAGTTAATCGAGTAGAAACTGACATACCTCTCTTTCTGCCAAGACTTCCATTATCTGTCACTCCTTTTATCCAAACATGCATGAGATATGAGTCTATAAATTTGTAAATTTGTGCCCGACAGTGCCAGACCAAACATTAATATGAAAGGCAAATATGATTGTTTCCTCAGATTATGTTTTCCACTCTTCTCTGTACAATGTCATTTATCATGTGAAGATCGACATTTCTGGTTTTGCATTGCTTCATCATACTGACACTTGGCAACTTTATTCCTCCTAGAAGTTTGCACACAAACATGTCTTATATGTAAGCTGTACATAAGAGTGGCATATATTTTATGCAAGAGTAATTCAAATTAGAACACTGAAAAACAAGTCTTAAAGTATAGATTTTATTTACAAAATTAGTTTCTGCTTACATATTGCTACATTCACAGATTTGAACATAATAAAAAATTAGTCTCTATATATGTATATTTTAAGGATGATATACAGCCATTGCTTCTTGGTAACTCTAAATTCTTAACCTTTTGATTTAAAAGGGGAAAGAAAAGCATTTAATAAATGAAGTCTATTGTTATAGTTACTAATTTTTTATTCATATTAAACTGATTGATGACTATTTTTGCTATATTTCTTTATAGATTTAAAATTTTGAAATGTTAATGAGAAAAAATTATACACATAATTTGAGAAAGACAGTTTTTCCTGTTACAAAAATTACAAATTCATTCAAGGAAATAAGTTATTCAAACATTTGCTATTTAATTCAGTTACCTTCATAAGTATAATATGCAATAAATGGATATGATTAAATTGTGCATCTGCAACAAGCAATGTTCACTGATAGTTCTTGAAAAGAATACTTGCCTTTAAAATACTTAATTCATATTCTTAAATCCATACCTGCACATACATACATAGCTAATACATGTATACCTGCATAATTATTTCTGGATGATGAACAAATGTGCACTTAGAATACTATTTTACAGGACATAAAAATACATTCAGATGCCTGAGGTATTCTTAAACATGATAAAGTAATTCTATATTTTATAAAAGTTCATTATAAAACTCAACAATTTCTATAATATATATATGTGTGTAATGTATTTACATTTGCAAAATGATCTCTTTAGAACAGAGATGAGTATTTTCAGATAAAGCTTTTCTAACGCACTGTTAGTATTAAAGGAATGATTATAAAAGCTTCTGAAAATAAAAACCCAGTGGGTATTTTATATATTAAATATAACAACTAGATTTAAAATAGAAAAAGAACATAATAATTTAATAATAAATATTCATTACTTTGGACATTCAAAGTCTTTAAATTATGCAATACAAATAATAATGTTGATTAATAATTAAATAAGTTATGTCGATTTACAATTGAGAAAGAAAATTTGAATAAGATTTACAATTGAGAAAGAAAATACATGCATGTAACTTGGAATAACCATATCTGAGGTATACATGAATTTCCCTGTGCCACCCCCTTTTTTAAACATAAATATAAAATAATAATCTTCATAATCAATTTCTTTTAATTCAGAACACATGTAGTTGGCAAGTAATTTACAAGCACTGCAATAAATCAGCATACGGTGTATGAGGGAGAGCAACACTTTGTATAGTATTGAAATATGCTTGCTTTTGTTCATTACTTTGTAGCTGAAAACAACAAAAAGAAAGGTATATTAATACTTTCTGCAAATAAAATAGAAAGGTTTTACATCAATACATAGTCATTATCTAGGTTATTGTACATCACAAGCCAATACATTAAAACTATATGTTCATAAAGAAGCTTAGATGACACCTGCCACATGGTTAAATTTGGATTACTGAAACTATTTTAATTGTTACGAACCATGTTTGTTAGATTGCTGTTACATTTTTCTGAAACACTTTATTGAGCATCTGCACAGTTTTGAATATCCTGTAGAATTTACTTTCTAGAAGTGGCAACATCTGACTTTGTTACTGTTAAAAATTCGATCGAATTATCAATGGAGTTGTATCAGCTCTTTCTGGCTATGATGTTTGTATATAATATATAAATATTATTTCATAAGAATAAATTGAATTTAATTAAAAAAATAAAATTTAAATACAAATTTAATTAAATTTTCTTTGTGCCATTGCTGCAAGGAATGAAATTTAATTTTTAACAAATACGTATAAAAGTAAAAAAGCAAATTTAAATCCTAAAAAAAGGAAAAAAAACAAAATAATTTTTAAAAAAATGTGCAAACATATAAAAGATTTAATACTCGAACTAATCTACAATATTTAAATTCAGAAGCATAAGCAAATCAAGTGCAAAATCAATCCATGAAAATAAATTTACTAATTTAATAAATTAAAATTAAACATTTTTTAAAAAAATGCATATGTGAATGACTGTTGAGTAGGCAGGAGACAGACTTATCAAGAGAAAGTTGCCTCCAAACCTAACTCTCCAATCATTCAATTCGTGTTTCATCATTCATGTAGTCAAGGGTAAAAGTCAAAACCAAAAGTAATTCCAATAAAGTGGTTCCTTTAGAAATTAACATTTAAGAATTAAAGTTCAAAAAGGAAAATACTAATGAAGTCTTTTAAAAAATTAAGCAAGTAAAGTCAAGAATTAAACTTTTTTTTTAAATTAAATTTTTTAAAAAATTAATTTTTTACAAAAAAATAATAAAAAATATCTAGAAACCAATGTATTTTAGAAACCCTTGTCTACAGAAACCCGAAACCTCCCCTACACGAATATGCATATCAATAAAAAGAAACTAAAAAGATTACTACCTTTAGGATTTTTAATTTAATTTAATTTAATTTTTAATATTAATGTTTACCAAAAAAAATTTTTTTTTACTATAACAAAGATAGCAGCTTGACACTCAACTTTACCTACATAAGCGCCATCTATATAATTTGAAGAACACACTTACTTCTCTTTTACAACACTTTTGCAGACCCCCAACACTCATATAGTAGGTAAGTTAGAATTAAAACTTACTATTTACTTGCTTTAAGTATTTTTTAAAATTTTTTATGTAGTATCTAAGTATTTTCTAAATATGAAATTATATTTTTAAATATATATTTGTTTTTTAAAAATTGTAATTAGTTCTTTTTGTTTCTTATTGGTTTATATGGATTATGTCTAGTTCTTTTTTAGTTTCTTTTTATTGATATGCATATTCGTGTAGGGGAGGTTTCTGTAGACAAGGGTTTTCTAAAATACATTGGTTTTCTAGATTATTTTTATTATTTTTTTATAAAAAATTAATTTTTTTTTAAAAAATTTAATTTAAAATAAAAGTTTAATTCTTGACTTTACTTTTGCTTGTTTCTCAAAAGACTTCATTAGTATTTTCCTTTTTGAACTTTAATTCTTAAATGTTAATTTCTAAGGGAACCACTTTATTGGAATTACTTTTGGTTTTGACTTTTACCCTTGCCTACATGAATGACAAAACACGAATTGAATGATTGGAGAGTTAGGTTTGGAGGCAACTTCCCCTTGATAAGTCTGTCTCCTGCCTACTCAACGGTCATTCACATATGCATTTTTTTAAAAAAATGTTTAATTTATTAAATTAGTAAATTTATTTTCATGGATTGATTTTGCACTTGATTTGCTTATGCTTCTGAATTTAAATGATATTGTAGATTAGTTCGAGTATTAAATCTTTTATATGATTGCACATTTTTTAAAAAATTATTTTGGTTTTTTTCCTTTTTTTAGGATTTAAATTTGCTTTTTTACTTTTATACGTATTTGTTAAAAATTAAATTTAAATTTGTGTTTAAATATATATAAATATTATTTATCCATAGTCTTGTTAAGTATGTGCACTAAATGTAAAATAAATAAACGTTTAATAGTTCCGGCCTTCATCCATCAAACATACGTGGGTTTATGCAACTAGTCCCAGCAGTTAGCTTGACGATGAGGTAAAGTACTTTCATTTCAATTTATTATTTTTTCACCCCCGAAGTATTTTTTTTTTTAAATTTTGTATTTAATTTATGTTGAATTCGGAACAATTAAAAGCATTTATCAATGATATGAATCATAATCAACAGCTGCTAATTCAGCAGTTATTAACAAAAGAAACACCAGAAATGAATGTATCTAAATAAAACAATAATGCTAATGTATTAAACACTGAAAGTTTTAATCCTAAAAAAGAAAAATTTAAATATTATCTGCAACGTTTCGCAAATTACTTAACGACGAATGCTATTTCGATTAAGATAAATCGAAAAGCGCACAAATGCCACTTAATTCCATATCAGAACCAGATTACAACATCGTGTCCGCTCTAATTGCGTGAAATGTTTACCACTTGTTGCATGCGTACAGGTTCGTAATAGATCCAATGCACATACAGAATTGATAATAGCTTGATAATATTTACCAAAAGAAATACTTCAGAATCTTAGACCTTTTTTCAAAAATACTCGTACAGCTGTTCTCAGTATATAAGATAGCACAATCAGTAGTTACATTTCAAAGTTCTGTATATTCTGGCGCATAACGTGCACCTATAATTTCAAACTACATTTATTTATTTTTAGGTATATTCGCCGCATATACAGTAGTAAGAATGTTAAATACAACGCAAGGCGAAGTGCACACGGAGAACTTTATACTCCGAAGACAGCTCTGATCTAAAAACTGAGAACCAATGCTCTCTCCAGGCTTATAGAGTTTTCCCCTGGCTGCCAAGAAATCTCTGGTACCTTCCATTTCCTGAAATTACTGGAAGGCATATACGGTTAATGTCACATAAAAGGGCTGCTGGATACGGTTACAGTTACATATAAAGATCAATTCAGTTACAGTACCTGGTCCAGTTGCTACAATCAACGAAAAGAAAAAGCTTTACATAAATGAAAAATCTGAACTACAATGCTTCAGCTATATAAATTTTCGACACATTTAAAAGGACTGTCCGATGCCAAAACAAGAAGTAACATGCCGAAAATGTCATAATGCTAAAAATGTGTTACGAAAGCTGAAAATAATCATTCATATGATAAAAATTATTCTGTAAGCAAGCTGAGAAAAATTCAGAAGAGAGCAATTCATATTTGCAGAAAGCAAAACTGAATAATTCTGATGAAGTACGGGCTTTAATTGATACGGGGAGTTCCTATTGTCTTTTAAGGACTTCAGTTGCTCAGACACTTAAAGTAAAACCTGAACCTGCTGTAATTGAATTAGATGGTTTTGAAAATCAAAGGGTGACCTCTATAGGAATGATTAAAGCCGATATTGAAGTTGATAATGTAAAAGGCCAAGGCATAAATGTATACCTTGTTCCTGATAATGAGATGATCGGACGGTCATCGCTTGATCTCCCTCATATCGCTTATGTCAGAATATAAAAAGATTTCGCTTCGGAAATCGAAAAGATGTACTACTTAGTAACTTAATTAATTGAAAAATAAATGTAGTCTGCCTTAAAGCTCTAGAGGCAAATGAATTAGAGAAAAAAACGCGACCAATCTTGTCAGTTCTCAAGCAGATTTTATCGATAATGGATTAATTATGATAGAAAATTCTTCCGAAGGTATCGGCTGTTTATTAGAAATTAAAAATGGCGAAACATTTTCAATTTAAACATTTTTATACCAATGATTAACGCTGGCGCTAGAAGTGTTATGCTCCGAAAAGAACAATGCGCTGGGAGAGCAGAAGTTGAACTATGTTTAAATACTGAAATTTCTGAATTGACCTCGAATCCAACAAAAAGGGAAAATATTAACTACATAAAAGTTCCTATAAGTTTAAGAGAAGTTAAAATTGGCTCGGATCTCAACGTCGATTCAAAACATGTAATGATCTCATGACTCAGGAGATTCCATAATTCAGTTGAGGGAGCATTAGTATCGTTTTCAAAATTCATAGAACACTCGAATTGATTGTAATGATAATGATGTAAATTATAATCCAAGATAATTAGCAGCACAAGCAACATTTTATTAACGACACTTAACAGGTTTTAAGTAATTTCCTCTTATAGAAGCGGCCGTGAAAATCATAGTAAGTTTTTCAAGGTTCAAGTATTCTTAATTCTACAGAGCCCAAGTATCAAGAAGATTCTAAACATCGTTATTTTTTTATACTTTTCTCGGCACATGTCGAGAGCGCCATCAACTACTAAAGGCAGAACAGTACCAGTTACTACAATACACAAGGATCGTTCCAGATACACAAGGATCGGATCAAAATGTCGCCAAATTTGCCAACAGAAATTAGTTGTCAAAACCGTCGCCACCTTCGCGATATCTCGCCAATTTAGCGAGATAGCCATTTATCTCAATTTACCTAATCATTTGCCCTAATTTTGATTCAGAGCACACCGGGCTGACGGATCCGAGGGTCTCCATACCTCTACCACCAACCTCTCGAAAGGACTTTCGGCTCGCCACATATTTAGAGTGCTCCTATGCCGCACAGACACAAAACATTTAAAAACATCAATGCCTTCTCCGGCATTCGAACCCGGGCCCTTGGGTACGGCGGTCAGTCATTAACCACTATCCCATTTGGGCAGCATGGCTGTTTTTGAATGCACAGAATCTGAGATTTCGCTGTCTGAAGTTCCAATTAGCTGAAAGATCTTGGAGCGATGATTCCGACTAAAATTGTTTCTTCCGGACATTTTTTTAAAACTGCATTCAAATAATTGGAAATACTTCTGTAATATGTAAATAAAACTTTTATCTTTTAAAAATATCCAATGCTTATAAATTTCCGCTTTTCTGTTGCGGCGGAACTGCACAGTCAGTGAGGCGACTACACCTGTACGACCAGTGGTGAAACTTTGGTGTGCCGCCCACTTCTATCTGTACCTGTGTATATATATAGTATTTTAAAAAATGCGAGTTACTGAACTGCTGCTTTGGAAATATATTTAAAAAACGCGCTAAATATGATGATATTCCAGTTCTTCTTCTCCTTTGAGACCACCAAATAAGAAAATGCACAACGAATGGAATGAGATATTTTTGCTATAGGTTTGGTTTGGTTTATTTAATTATAGCAAAGCATTCGACGGCTATCTGTCTAAGAGGAAGGATGCCTTCATCGAGGACTATTAAAGGAAACTGGCCCGTATACACGTAACGCAAAGGCAAAACTACGAAAACGCCCATTCGGCCAGCCCGTTCACCGGAATCGGAAGCCCGGATCGAACTACCAGTGTTCAGCGATTTTACCGCTCGGCTGCTAGTGGGCTCTTTTTACTATAGCATAAGTGTCATTGTGATACTGATAAAACTGCAAAACAGTAAAATAAATCTTAAAACTCTCTTTCCCAAAGTAAACAACTCTACAAAAAAAATCTTCTTTAGAAAGTTGAAAATGAAACTGAACGTGAGCGCTAACACAGAACAAATAAGTGTGCCCCATTCGAGGATACTCTTGTGTATCCACACTCTTGAACGAAAGACTTAAGCGCATGTGTGTTGTAAAATACCTCTGCGAGAGATATTAAAATAGTTGCAATGTATTTATAGCGTTCGATGTCGCTACAAAATTGGACTGTCAGTTATTATATGAAAGGCAGTATGGTTTTTTAAGTATTCTTTTATACTTAGACGAAAATGCATCGTTTTTGATGATAGTCTTCTAGACAGATGAAATGTTGTTTCTGATTACAAATATTCAGTACTGAATTATACAGAATTTAAAAGCTAAGCAATATAATAAGCATCGATTTAGTTGGTCATTAAACATGTGGTGTGGCTTGTGGAAGATATATGTAACAAGAGCCCTTTTTTTCGAGCGTTTTTGATTGGAAAGAGACAGCTTGATTTTTCACAAGTCCAGGATTTGATTTTGGGCCTGTGAAATTGGATATTGCACTCAAATGGTGTTAATATGATAGCACTATTTTTATTAGGAGACGAAGGAAAATAGAATTGGTTTGGCTCTGAGATTTCGCTGTAGCTGAATTTTCTCAGATCGGACTTCCATGGGTTTCTTCCTTCGGGTTATCTTAAAAAAAGGTTTGAGCACAAAAGGTCTAGGACTTCAGATCATTAACGCTTCTGAAAACGTGACATCTACAACATTACGTCTTATTCATCAAATATATTTAATATATCATATTCATAAATATCAAATATTCATAAATATCAAATGTATTCATCAAAATGCATAATCTTTTGTTATGATGTGCAGTGCAACTGATGACGTAAACTTTGAGGAATAGCCGTTACAAACTGCTTAGTCGTTTTAGACTTTTCCTGTTCCGATAAAAAACTGCAATCCATTTGCAAAATTATTCCTGTTTTTAAACTTTTTGTTGTTTTTGTCTGTGTATATGCCACCTGAAAAACTCATGTCTTTCCATGATATCTGAAAACATTCTAAGCCACTGTAGCTGAAAGTGTTTCACTGTCATGTTTCCATCTGGATAAATCAGGAAACACGTTTTATATTTCTTCGAAGTTTGCGATGCATTTGTGACTTGCGATCTTATCTACAAGCCATAAACTGTTTCACTACGATGGCCAAATGAGGCCGAGTATTATCATGGAGAATGAACCAGCAGCCTGCCTCGGCGTATTCTGGACGTACACGACGGATCCTTTGCATTAATGTTTTGCCCGAACATCCTTGTACATGTTTGTTAGCATTCATTGTTGCTTTCACTGGCTAATATCGTCTTAAGTTTTTCAACATTTCCGTCATTATGAGAAGTCCTTAGCCTACCACTTCGAACAGCCTCTTGAATGGAATCCCGTTCATCTTGAAAACGTTTAAACCATTTTAAATGCATTTTAAAGATATAGCTTCGTCTCCGCACACTTCTTTCTGCATATCGTGATTTTTTCCCCAAATACAAAAAGCTTGGAAAAGAACTCTATAGCTCTACTTCGCAACCAATGCTACACCTTTGCATGCTAGTTGTTGTTAACAGAAACCCGTAATGCCTATTCCTACGCCGCACTCAAACTTGTAAATGAGGTATCTTTTCTGCACTTCTCGTTCGCAGACGATCGCGCTTATGCATCTTATGACCTCATTTACTGAACTTTATTATCATACCTTGTAAAAATTTTGAATTCTTAAATTCGCTGCTAAGACCTCTGAAAATTTTCTGAACAGACAGCGAATAATTACTTATTAGTAAATCTTACTGTTTTAGAACATTTAAATCGAAAGTTAAAGAACTGTAGAAGAAATATACAGGAAAATGTACTTGCAACCCTGTTATATAATAATGTACTGGAAGCAGTTTATCTAATCTAACGCAGAATTTGGTCAGGTGCATAAAATGATGGTGCATATGTCTTTGGCACTAATTCCAGACACCAGAGCATTTTCATTCCGAAATGATTTCAGAATAAATTTAGTGATGCCTGTTACTGCAACTTCGGCTCCAAGAAGTCCCAGAAATTAAAAATAATAATAATAAAAAAATAATAATCTGAGATAGTCATTTCTTAAACAACAATAAAACACATTTATTTTGCCTAATCGAGCACTAATTAATTAATTAGTTAGATTTTGAAAAATTATTAATAAAGTTGCTTAATTAAAAAGTCATAAAAACTAGAAGCTTTATGAACTTTTTCCGAAATTAATTATGCCATTTTTCCCAATTGTTTAAAACTTTTGAAATTTTGCATCAATTTTTTTTTACTTCTTAAGAAGAGGGACATGTGTCGAAATTCATAGAGTTTTGTTCAAAATCTGGGCCAACTAAGGTTTCTAATAAGGATTTTAAACATAAAATATTTAGTTGACTTTTTAAAAAATTTTCAATATTTTTAATAAACGTGATAAAGAAGCTAATAAAGTGCTTTACATTTTTTTTTCAAATGTAAGTTATTCAAAATTAAAATTGTACATTTTTTAAGTACCTTAAGGCACTTACTTTGAAACTTTGGAAAATATTTAAAAATAAAATTTTACCTTTTTAAAAAAGTAACTAAATTTAAATATTTCAAAAAGTACCTGATTTCTGAAATTCAGACCAGCAATGCAGAATAATACTTTGTCTTGCTCTTCCATTTTACCCATTCTGTTTTGTATGTATGGAAATCTGAGTTGAAAAAAATTGTTAAGAAAAGCAGCACATACATCACTACATAATTATATGAAAGTTTAAAAATCAACACATTAAAATTATATAAACATCTAAAATATATACAAATCAATAAAAGGATACAGAGCTTGAAACCAGTAATTTGTTGTAGCACTCACAAAAAAGCAACTCAGACTCCATACTGCCATAGACAAGGGTGACCTTTGCATAAAATTAGATAATGACAGTAACACCCATTCATGAATAATTTCTTCTTGTGATTGTTTATGTAGATACTGGAAAACCTGTAAACAATTACCATTTACAAATATGCAATATTTTTAAACAATTATATTTATTTCAGAGTGGATTCAAGGTATAGAAATGATCTAAAAAATGTACACTTGAAAAGCTAGAGAGTGCATTAATGTATAATAAAATAAAAATTGTATATCATGAAAAATTCAATATACGAGTACTATTGAAAATATTTCAAAATATTATAATCCTTTTTGGCTGTATTTTTTTTTTTTTTTTTTTTTTTTTCTGTATTATTATAATATTTTGTACTGCTTATTTATTTAGTGATTTTAGAATGGTAATAATTTTATGATTTATTTTTGTGTTTATTCTAATTTTGGTCACATATGGCTTGAATTTAAGTGTTTCTTTGTTGCACAGTATTGTAGATCTTTTAATTCTGAATGCAACGGCTTTGGAATTGTGAAAATAGCTCAGTTAGAAGGTGAAATATAGGAAATTTAGTTTCAAAGGGGGCCTTGGCAACATATGGCGATATCTCGCCGACTTGGCGATTTTCTGGGAAATTTGCGAAAACATATTTTCGAAGCCTTACAACTGCTTCTTCCAGAAGTTTCCAGAGTCCACGCTTCAGAACATAAATACGGGTCGGAGAGCTAGGGAGTTCAGAGATCATGGAACTCGAGGAAAACTAATAGAAATGAGAATACTATACTCAACAATTACCTAATTAACAGCGACATACGTTTAATTGCACCTGATTCCCCTACCAGATATAACCACGATGGAGACGGAAAAATACTATACATCGTTCTTTTAAGAATATCCCCCAAACGCTCATCTAGCAGTTATCGAAGATTTATCCTCAGGTCGCCTCCCAGTCAATTTTGACTTCTATGGTTTCTAAAAACTTAAACTACAAGAATTAACTGGCAAAAATATACAGCACAGCTCATGAACATTCCCTGCAGGTCTAATGTTTCACACTGCAACGATATAGATTAAGAAATTTATCTTTTAATTAATAAAATGCAGCAGGCCATAAAAAATGCATCTTATCCGTGTAAACTGCTAATTACGTAACTTTACCTACTCATATCAAAGATATCATCAAACAACACAATACCGCTAGGAAAAAACTGGAAACTTTCAAGAAATCCAAGAGAAAAGAGTTTCGTGAATTATTTAAACAGAAAAACTAAAGAAATACAAATTATAGATCCAACAAGTAGAATTTTTATTAGAAAATTTAGAAATCCAAAATGATACGGTTTGGAAAATTGCAAAGTCATTACAAAAAGGTCGGACTAATCAAATGCACCCTATCGATCACGTGGGAAGAACATATCAATCCCAGCACGAAATTTCAAGTTTAATGGCAGAAGAATCAGCGAAAATTTTTCAGCCTCATCAATTGAATAATATGAATAACGAAGCTGAAATTCAACATACAACAGATAGTATTAAAAATAGAATCCCAACAAATCATAATTTACTTAGTATTCCTAGCGAAGTACGGAAAATTATTAAGAAGCTAAAATCCAAGAAGGCAAAGGGGTACGACCAAATAAATAACGAAGCTTTAAAAGCCTTGCCAAGAAGATGTATTTTTGCAAATTTGACCAACATATTCTCTGCTTGCATCAAATAATGCTACTTTCCACAGCAGTGGAAGTATTCCATAGTAATCACTCTATTGAAACCAAGAAAAAATCCCAGAATTGATTTTAATTATCGAGCGATCAGTTTGCTATCAACGATGGGGAAAGTTTTAGAAAAAATCCTTAGCTCCAGATTAACCGACCACCTGGAAAGATTAACTTTAATAGATGACTTGCAATTTTAATTCCGCAAAGGACACAGTACCACCTATCAAATTTTAAATTTAGTTGAAACCATCTCACTTGCATTCCATAATAGGAATGGAATCGCTGCATGCTTCCTCGATTTTGAAAAAGCTTTTGATGGACTGTGGCATGCAGGACATTCACAAACTAACTAATTTCCTACAACCAGTAAGCTTTATCAAAATTATTACTCCTTATTTGAAACGCAGAACATTTCAAGTTCGCTGCGGAGATACCCTCTCAGCTAAAAAACTTATTCATTGTGGCGTCCCACAAGGTAGTATTACTTGCGACAACATTATTTAACGTATATATAAACGAGCTCCCTAATCCTCTGAATTCTAAGGTACTCAAGTACGCAGATGATACTGTGATACTGAATTCCGGAATCCTCAACTGGCAATAAATTATCTGCAACTGCACGTCAACACTATTACAAGATGGTGTCAATATTGGAAAATTAATCTGAATGCTTCAAAATGTTATATCGTATTATTTAGAAGATACAAAAGGTGTATGCTAGTCAACACAGAAATTAAAATTAATAGCGCAATAGTACCTGTAGCGGATTCTTATAAATACCTTGGTGTCTACGTAGATAAATCTCTACCCTTCAAAGATCACATTACTCATATTACTAATAAAGGAAATGCTGCCTTCATTGCGTTATACCCATTAATTGGACGAAACTCAAAACTCAGCTAAAAAATAAAGAAAATGTTCTGTATTTCATTAATTAGACTCATCTTACTATACACAGTTCCTGCATGGGCAATTGGAAACAAGACAGAAAGATACAAGCTAAATATTCTACAAAACAAGATTTTACGTACTATTGTTAACGCTTCGTGGTATGTTAGAAATCTGCAAATTCATGCTGATCTGGAAATACAGCCTATCTATAATCAATATATTCTTACTACTGCGCACAGTTGTTTCGAAACTATGCGAAATAGTCCGTATGATATACTAAAACAAATCACTGATTATGATCCAACAATTGAAAACATAGTAAAGCAACCTAGATCGATCCACCACAATGGTGATGCACATATGTATATAGTATTTTCAAAATATTTTCATCTGTTTATTTCGTCATTTTTATTACTTATTTTGCCTCTCAAAGCAAGTTTGAAAGACTTTGATTATTGCCCTGGTAAAGAGGGAATGAACTTTGCCGTTTATTTTACTATTATTACTAATTATTTTCATATTATCATCGTATTTACTGAATTATACACTAATAAACTAAATTTCGTAATCGCTTAGTATCCACATGACCGACTTCAACTTTAGAAATCACGCGATTGGCCGCCTCATACCACGCGACGTTGTGCTGTCTCTCAATGATCAAAATTCAAGTAACTCTAGCATGGTTTATGCTTCACGCATGCGCAATAGGTACATTTTCAGCATGGTAACCTTCGTCGCTTGGCTTGTATGTTTGGCTTGCCGATGAATTCACAATTAAGTCTTCAGCGATGCGTAAGTGAAGTGCTGCGGAATGTGTGAAATTTGTTCACTTTGTCCCCAAATCATGCAAGCAATTATTTACTGGGGTCTTAAAAAAGCGTATGGGGTGAGCTTTGTGCCCAATTATGCGAGAATTTATTTACTGGGGACTTGAAAAAGCGTATGGGGGAATAGCCGTTATTCTTTTTTCACTCGTGTTGATGTTTATAAACTGCTTAAATTAATGCTGTAGGATTTTGTAATGTGCAATAATCAATTAACCTTAACCGTATTTTACATTTATTTTCAAATGTATTTTTGTTTGATATTTCATCTATGTTTACTGTTATAAAATTTCTTTTTAAATTCATACTTTCCACAAAGGCATGTCTCATACTAGGCAAATAATTCTTGAGAGCTTAACATAATCAATTAACCTCATTTTATATTTTTTTTTTAATTTCATATTTACAGTTATCATAAAAATTCATCTTTTAACAGCCATTCAGCAAAATAACATACTTTGGTCCTTCTTTTCGTATTCTTGATTACATTATCTTACCTTAGTGGTAATCCAAAATATGTCTTCGAACATTCCAAACATACAAAATTACCTTCCATACACGCTAAATGTAAGAAATTAGTAACAGCTTAATTTCTTCAACTCTTCAAGCTTCTTATTCAGGCTTAACTTCTGCAAAGTGACAAAATTTCGTGGAATAACACCATGTCTTTAGTTGCCAATCTCATGATACATCGCCAATTAAGTATAACGGACGCCAGCCAATAACGCCAACGGAGCTTGTCATTGCGCATGCGTGAAGCATAAACCATGCTAGGCCTAGATACTACTCAAAATTCATTTCTATGCTCAGTTAGAGGAAGGGCGTCGACCATGAAGATTGCTCATGAAGAACGCAGCATCAATTGCTTATTAAAATCAAAAATGCCATCATCCTTGCTACATTTTGCTTCTTTATGATATCATGGATATGCCTACAAATTGCTTTTACAAAAATTGCTATATTAATTACTTCTCCGATTATTTTACCATAATTGCTTCATCGAATGGCTAACTCATTGCCTCCGATGAGATGGAAGACTTGATCAATTGTTTTAGACTTCGAAAAATGCCTTATTATTCAAGAGAAAGGATTCCCGCCTCAGGGTGTTGGTGTTTTTTAAAACCATTTCTATTTAATTACCGCAAAAAGTCATTGGCAATTATGTAGATTTAATGGTAAAGATACTAGGAAATCGTAGACCTGCAGCAAAGTGAAGATCAACGATCAACGCGAGTTCAGTAGTGAATCAACTGTGAGACTTAATGACTTAGCTGAACTACGAGTTAGGATTTAGACAGAGAGTGATGTGAGGAATTTTACGAATTATTTCGTATTCAAGTAATCAAGCCATGAATTGCTAAATATCTTCGTATTCCTTGGGACATTTCTAGCAATTATTGTGCTGTGTGTACTATTGATTGTGCCAGTTTTCCTAATAAATACATAAGGTATTTATGCGGAAAAGACTACATGCATTCATGGCTTCATGGTGTAAATGGATAGCATGTCCGGCTATCAGTCGGAAGGTCTGGTGTTCGAATCCCCTACAAGAGCAATGCATATTTTTCACGTCTCCTGGATAGATTTAACCTAATGACTCTATACGTGTCACACCAGCTAAAAGCTGGTGGACGTAAATTCGTCGCCACCAGGATTTTGTGATTGGGTTCCTTCAACCCC